TACCCATCAAAAATTAAAGATACAAATCAGTTTCGCTAAGAACTCCCGTGGGAAGTCAAAAATGGAACTTGGTTTGCGGGGAAAGGAAGTAGGCATCTTATTAAGTGGCTTCGCCAATAAAAACGTGGCTACAATAAAAATTATAGTAATCTATTAATTGGTAAATGGAAGGGAACATGATATGTAGCTGAGGGTAGTGAACTTTCATGAGGTGAGGTGTTGTGAGGAAACCCTGTTGAGATACATGATTAACCCCTTACTTCTCCATTAAAGTGTCAAATCTGGTTATCGTATAGCTTATATTTGTAGCCCTTCATTGCTATTAAATCCAAATTTAATTTTCTGTTATGCCATTAAGAGTTAAAAAAAAACTAAAATCAAACTAATTGTGTAACAAATTCAAAATATCACTATTTATGATTTATATATACACAAAAGGTTCTTTACATTGCTTTAAATTTTAATATTGTATTTTTATAATTTTACAAATATTTTTAGCGCTTTCGTTTTTACTTCATTTTATTTTAAAAATTTAAATTTTGCATTCTGATATGATATATGATACATAGTTATCAGTCATCTCTATGGATAGCCTCATGTTGGTTATTCTCATATTCTACCTCATCATATGGCACTCGTGTTTATTTTTCAAAATGTTTTCTCTTTATTTTATGTTTTTGGCGTATAATATTTTTACTATAAAAACCTGAAATTGATTAACAACCATAAAAAGCTTAAAATATAAGTATTTTCTAATATGCATCTGTTAATTAATAAAAATAATTCTCAAAAATATTATATATTGATTTTTATTAAAGTTCAACATGACTTTTAACAATCTTTATTACCTTCGCCAAAGCAGGTTAGTATTCACCGCTGTCTGTCTGTTAGCAAGATTATGCAAACAGTAATGAATTGATTATCATAAAATTTAGTGGAATGGTATATAATATTCCAAGAAAGAGATGATTAAATTTTGGGGAGAAAAGGTCAAAGGTCAATGTCATGGAAATTCAAATTTTACCCCAAGCATAAAAGAAAATAACGGAATGGTCCATCATACACTACACTGCCTGCGTATTGTTCAGTATCTAGGTACAGGTTGGAAAGTAATAGAATCACCCATCATACACTGCCTGCTGTGTATTGTTTGGTATCCATGCCAAGGGCTTAGCCAGCGAGCGTCTGGCCAACAATTATTTAGGACAGCCACTTTTACCGTGATAGCTTGGACGGCTTGGCCTACTCAACTCGGCCTAGCCTACTTGGGACTGGTCGACCATTAGCAAATTCTCTATATTCTTCGAATCTATCAAATGTTGCATGAAAAAAAGCAATTTTGGACGGCCTATTTCATTTTTCTAAGCCCCAGATCCAGGCACAGGTGGAGGTATGCACTTCAGGAAGTATGCACTTTATGGAGTGACTACTCTAGTTTTATCTGTTGTTGATACAGAAACGCATAGCACTTACAGCTCAACAAATGATTGTTATTTAATGCTGAAGAATGATTTGTGAATTATCTCTTGTCACAAAAAAAAAATCCTATTACAGGTGACACTTCACATCTGGACATTTTTTATCCAACAGAAATGCAAAATGATTATTAAAAAAATAAATTCATTCGTTTCCAATTAATTGATTAGTAAACGTTGCTCTTCTAATTGATTTTAACGTCAATAAAAAAATCCCCTTTTTCCACAGGAAATTTCTTTATTAAACCAACAAAATGTGATGGACACCAGATTAAGGCATTGGTCAATACTACCCTTGTCAACTTTTTTAGATTTCCTCGATAAATACTGACCAAATTGAAACATTTTCAGATATTTAATTGACTTGAGTACACCACTAGATTCTTTTGTCCTTTCATTTATTTCCAGGCACAAACAAACTGTAACATACACAGTAAACATATCGTAAATAATAGGCCTGTGGTTTGCATTAAAACCAAACTAAATCTCTGTCAAGGGCCAATTGATGAACAGATATACTGATCAGAGTCTACATTTCAGGGATATTGGCAAATAAATAAATCAATTACATATTAATAAAGTGCAGTTTGTCACTGATGGATTTGAATTATGTCTATTTGTATTATCATTGATGGTAATCATCTGTTATTGTTTGAATCTTTTGTTCTCTATATTATGTTCTTCGGTATTGTATTGTACATAGGAAAGCTAATATCACGTATAAATATATTTGACAATCAATCAATTTTGACATCATAATTATTTCTCCAATATTCTTTTCATTCACCCCCATTCCATTCATATTAGTCAACCCTGAAAGCACTTACAATTTCTTCCTGAGTACACCACAATCTGAACTGTTATCGTGCCCAGCTACAACATTAAAGCGTGGTGTACCGATGGTAACAATTAAAGCACACATTATCCAATCATACAGAACTGAGCTTTATTATTTCTACAGGAAGCTACAGCACAATACAAGTTACGACTGACATTTACTGTTGGACGCAATGACGGGACATTAATTGTCACATGCAGTAAGTGGCAATTCTTGAAGTACTGTCATGTGGGGGATGGTAGGGAGTGGGGGAACAAAGGTTAAAGGGACTTAAACAAGGAAGATTTAGCTGACAAAATAAAGTAAAATTGAGGCATGTCATGGCGAAATGGTTAAGTTTTCGCAGAGTCCAGTATTGAGTAAATGAGCTTTAAAACATGGGAGTTCAAGAAATTGCCTAAAAATCCAAATTTGCTTTTCACTATAGATCAACAGTTTATTGTCTTATTAATCATGTGCCAAAGTATTAGTTCTGGAAGTGGTCAACAAACTGTTTATTTAATGTTATTTTGATAGTTCATTCTATTAAACAATGTATGCACAAATAACTTTGAAAGGCAATTACTCAAAATTGTGTTTATCTTGATTCTAAGACTACTGTACATTCACTTTCCAATAACTTAGGCTTGAAATGTCCAATTTCTATGAATGACAACTCATTTTAAAGATCACATACGCAGGTATCCGAAAATACCAATAACTTGAATTTCAATATTTGCTACAACTTAGCCATTTTGCCACAACATGCCTCAATTAGGTGATTTTAACTACTTAAGCGTAGTTCTTTTGATAAGAAAATTTCTAATAGGGTGGGGGAAAAAGCTTTTAATAGGGGCCTGTATCCCCCAGCCACAGTAGATACGACACTGCATAAAGTCTGCTTGACTCTATATTTATAGGAAGTTCAGCTACAAACAAAGTTTAGTTCATTCAGCTATTTGAGGTAAATGATGAAGAGGCAAGTCCAAATGAAGAAGTTCTTGAACAAAACATCATAAAGTATACTTAAACAATTATTCAATATTCTTCACATATAAACTAGTTGTATTTTTATTAATAGACTGTAGCAGTGGAATACTTCTAACAGAAGAAAAAAAAAATAAAGCAATGCAGATGAAACCAAACAACCACCACACGGTTCTCCAGCAATTTAAGGCAGAGCAGGGGCCCATCAGGTGGGTATTCACAAGTGCTTGAGTGACGTTGGCAGCTATATTTAGTCTGTCCCTAACCACAAGGAAGCAATAAAGTTTTCAACATTTCCTTAAATATTGTAAGAGAGGATGAAATAGAGTGTTGCATAGTAATTCATTGCAGTAATGTGGTAACACATATGAAAACGTCTGCTAATGTGAAGTTGTGAGTTAGTTGACTGTTGAGCAATCCTTAAAGTAGGGTGTTGTCAGATCCTGACCTGAGCCCTGTATGCCATTTATATGTATTTATTCTAATATTTTATAAGAGAATTTTATAAATTATGTAAGAACTATACAGTAGTTGACACTAGGAAGGTTAACATATATTCAAAAACTATTAAATACTTTATTGAATAATAGATGTTAATTTGTTAAGTGTCAGTTCCAATGAAATTAAGCTTGATTTAATTTAAGTTGTCCTGAGCGACAAAAACATAGGGAAGTGTACGATGCTATCATGACAAGGATATGTCATGGAAAATGAACTATTCCAAGAATATAAGTATACCACAGAAGGAATTAATAAAAAAATATTTCAATATCTAAAAAAAATTACTGAATGTTTACCTCATACAACCAAATCACACACTGCACCCAATAAAAAGACAATCTTATTTAGAAACATTGACATCAATATAAATTAAACCTAGGCCATCAACAAACAGTTTGGACAGACTTCTGGGAAAGTTCAGCCACTGTCTGGGCTATTCAGCAGGTCAAATGGATACAATCAGTAGGGACTAGACTGGGACAGTGAGGCCTAGCTAATGGACATGCTTAAATCTTAGTTGTCTGTTAGTAATACCATCCACTAACTGGATAATTGGTGTGGGAGACCAAAAAACCACTATTCTAAATAGTTAAGGATGTTGAACTTTCTAGCCAGAGACCGATGCAAGTTTATATCACATGTACAGCAAGGTAAATGTCGAGTCAAGTTAAGCAGAATAATTTCAGCAGATAAATTTTATGATTTTAATTTGTTGCTAATGTATTTAAGTTTTTTTTACTTAGCAATTCATGCCACTCAATTTTAAAAGTAGCCATGTCACAAATACTGTCAAGAACATAGTCCATGTCAACATTCAGTAGTCTATATAACAGATATTTGAAGCTATGTGCTACATCACAACTAATCAGAGGCAATGGCGTACCTATGAGACTTGAAAATGGAGGGGGTGGGGCCTGATGGGAGGAGAGGTGCAAAAGCAAAGTGGGGGATCAATGATTAAATGAAGAGGCTAGCTTACAAAAAAAAGGTGATTTTTCACAATTCTAATGCTTTTGCTTCTAACATTTTCAATAGGGGAGGGATGGCTTGGGGGTGCAAGCTTCTTTTGTTCCCCCTCCCCCATGCATCCCTAGATATGGCACTGATCTGAGGATGTTTAGTTCTTCATTAAACATAATTAATGCTAGCATGTACCAAAAGTATATTTTTGATAAACATGCTCCTCTTTCTCCACCCACGTTAAGGGCATGATTACTTACTTGGCTTGACACACCTGTTGCACTGGTGACAGTGGCGGTACGTAGAGCCATCTTTTGAAGTGCAAGAATTACACAGGGCGCAGTGTTTATTCTCCTTAGCCACAAATCGATCACATACACTGCAGAACCTACAAAAGAATACCTTTTCATTATAAAAAATATGTCACTGTCATCCATCAAAGAGGGATTCAACACTTTAAGATAGAAAATAAAATCTGTGATGCGCAACTCATAATTGGATGGACCAAATTTGACCAGATTAGTCAAAATGACAAAAGCTAAAGATATAATCAAAAAAATATTTAATATACGTAGAAACTTAATTAGAATCACTTCTATTAAAGCGAGGATGAGGAGCAAAATCATTTTAAGATATGTTGTACAAATTTTCTAAGAGACAAAAAGGGTGTTTGTCGTAAAACTCAAAAACGGTTAATGAGATACTGATTTTTAAATAATAAGGGGTGGCTAAACCATGATTCCCCGAACATATAAATTTTTTGTTTTCTCCGGAGGTTTTAAAGGGAACATAATTTCCTCTCCTTGGTGGAAAAAATTCTATCCGTTAAGATTGCACCTACATTCACTTCCATTAAAGCGAGTGTCGGGAGGATAAACATTTTTAGATATATTGTAAACATTTTCTAAGCGACAAAAAGGGTGCTTGTCATAATACTCAGAAACAGTTAATGAAATATAGACTTTTGCATATTAAAAAACTGAGGTAAAAAGGTGGGGAAAAGGGTGGTTGCCGCTTTTCATCCTACATTTCAATTTTTATTTTCTAATAATATTATTATTATTATATCTAGAAGACCTGGTTTATGTGAGCTTTATTAACACATCCAATTTTATTTTTCTGCGAATAGTGATACTATTGTCACCAAATTCAGTGAAACAATTGATAAATAAAGCAGGAAGAACGTGCAAATATTATGAATTTTTAGATAATGGATCACTTTCCGGGAAATTTGTGCTTGCTTGTGGGAGTGTGTAGGCTGCTAAAATTTTGAGATGGTTAATATTTTTTATCAAATTGATGCTTCTAATATTCATAACCAATTTCTGTTATTAGTACCTAACTCACCTATACCCATCTGCTGCAGGAAGTGGAATGAGATTTGCAGGGATGTTAGTAAAAATTCTCACTGGTGATCCTTTCTTCTTTGATTTTGAATTTGGTCCACTTTTAAAAACGTCATGATTTTCATATTCAACCTGTAGAAGAAAAAATAATTGGAAGTCAAAATGTAATTACAATTCATAGGAACAAAATTATGTAAAATGCTCTATTTAGTAGAGTTTTATTTGTTTGTTTATGTAATTATAATATGAAACTAAATGTAAATACCAATTAAAATCTCAATTTAAACAATTAATTGTGTTTTATCAAATTAAGTTGCTGATAAAAAGGGCAGTTAGAACAAGAGTTTATAAATTTCCTCTAGAGGGCAGCATAACCATAATTTGAGATATGCATAAAGAATCTCCACAGGCTCTAAAGAAAAATAATAAAGATTTTAGTATTAAATATACCATGGAACAACTGTCACTCAACTAGTAGTATCTTACTTAGTTGTAGTTGGGCATCTCAAATTTAGATTTATGTATTTATTATTTTATTTTTCCTAATAATATCTTATTTAACCAACTCGAAAAGATAATATAATAAATAACACTAAAGCTTTGTACACAATATCAAATTTTCATTGACAAAAAACTGTTGTATGGCCATATATAGTCATGATGTGCCTATATATGGTCATGATGTGATGTCATCATGCCCATATTCAGGCATATTTCATATGTTTCTCTCAAATCAAATTTTATAGTCTGAACAGGACCTAAATACATGAGCATTATGACTCACCTTATAATCTAACATGGTGGACGTTGGCCAACTCTGAAGTATTCTTGGCTCTAAGAAATATGGGAAAATCCACAAGATTGGCAGTTCTGTTTCCTTGTCTACAAAAAAACAAATGGATGCAGTGACATTAAGTGGCAGTTGAGGGTTCTCCATGTGATGACTTAATGCAAGTCTATCAAAAATGGCAGGTACATTAGATGATTATCAGAGTAAGCAATTGCTTTGTTACACCTGCCAATTGTGATGACAAAACCATACCAGTGGCAGATACAAATGGTGGTAAGAGGGGCGTGATTTAGGACAACACGAGAGATATTGATCAAGATCGTAGAAAAAATTCACTCATCTGTGACTGTCTTTGTGTGCGTTCTAGTCTAAATCGATTCTGATGTTTTTTACATGGAGATGTCACAAATGCAAAGACTAATGCACTAATATTTAATACAGTACAGTCCTTGTTATGCCCTGAACGCAACGCACAATGTTCAGACATGCGCAGTTTAAATAACATGACGTCATTACATTCTACATTGTCAAAAATCAAAAGCTCCCTAATGTTGATCAATAGTAAGACTCAAACTGACCTAAATGATATCTACAGAGATGGAATCTCTATGATATCAGAAATCAACTCTTAATGATGGTGATCTTAATACATGGATGGATTTCATCCTGAGTCTAGGTACTTTGAGCATTGGTGGAGGGGGTAAAATAAGTCTGACAGGGTTCCAAACCAACCTACTGTAGAGCCTTGGTCAGTGTTATGGAGGATAATTCCTGGTGGGGATCATGGGGACAGATTTCATGGTTTAGGATGATGCAAAATTGTGCTTTAGACCACAATATTAGAGATTGGTATTCACAATAACTTTGTTTTGATCAGCTGTAATGTTTTTAGTTTAAAGACCTTAGAAGTGATGTTTTGCCCTACATGACGTGTTATCGTACCGAATACTTATATGTTCATAATGACCTTGTTGCAGCGTCAGATGACTGGGGGTCTATGTTTGTTTGAAGAGGGGTATGTTTGTTTGAAGAGGTGGGGAAAATTTTCCCCCTCTGATCCCCTCACTTTAAACTACTTTTTAGTGTCTGGTGACGGTCATTGATACCAAGTAATAATTTTGTGATTACCATTTTGCATATTTTAATAAAAAAGCAAACACAATGTTAAGCCCCTTCCACAGCATATTTTGTACTCTTGTGAAATTGATAAAACACCTAGATGGCTGTGAGATGGCAGTGAGGTTTTAAATCTAATATTAATGTACTGTACAGCCAATAAAGAGTATTTGTAAAGAAAAATGATAATGATTAAAATGTTGATGATGTAATAGAAGATGATCAAGATGATGATGACGACAACTTAATAGATGTTGATGATGATGATGATGATGATGTAATAGAAGTTGATGAAGATGATGATAATGATGATGATGATGATGATAATGATGATCATGATGGAAACGATGATGATGATAATGGTGGTGGTGGTGATAATGATGATCATGATGATGATGATGGTAATGATGATGTAATAGAGGATGATTATAAATGACGAGGAAGATTATAAAGATGAAGATGATAGAGATGCTGAAGGTAAAATTGATAATGATGATGATGTAGAAGATAAGGATGATGATGTTAATCTTAACAAAAAAAGTAAACTGAAAAAAAATTTACTTGGTTGATATTAGTAATTTAATGTCCTAAAATTATTAATTGTATATAATAATAAATATATAATAATAATTTTGGAAATTCGTAAATTCAAACAACATTTATATATTTAAATTTTTTTTAAATAATAATAATCCAAAAGATTTTGTATATACTGTATATAATAATTATATTTCTATATATTTTCTGTATTTTCGTAAAATTTAAACTGTACATTCAAAATGATTTGGTTTAAGTAATTTGAATTGGTAGATTTCAGTAATTTAATATTCTCTAATTAATAATTGTATATAATAATAATAATAACAATAATAATAATAAATAATAATAATAAATATTTTGTAACTGTAAATTTAAAACAATATTTCTATTTTTTATATTTTTGTCTAATAATAAGCAAAATATGTAAATAATTTTATTTATATTTATCTTCAATATTTTTGTAAAATTTAAAATTTTGTACCGAAAGGTGCACTGATTAATCTCAGATAAGAAAGTATAATACATACTCCAAGTATTGAAATACACGCCATCGAGTTGGGATTCAATATTTTTCGACATTAATTATGTCATCATCAGGAATGATGATGAAAAAAGTTTGTACATTAAATGAAAAAATTTTGTACATTAAAAAAAAAATTGTTATATTCTTACATTTTTGTTTAATGTTTAAATAATATCATTTATATTTCTGTATCTCGTTTTTGTTTAAGACCCCTTTTGAAACAAGCCTACCAGCTTAAAGAGTTAGCCTCTGTTATCTATTTTGTCTTACTGTCAATGTTTTACTTCTGGGTATAAATTAATTTTTTGTTTTTTATAATGTAAATTGACTCTTTGTTCTTTGAATGGATAACAATAAATATATACTATACTACACCTTGTTTTTTTGCCTGCCTCCAACATTCTTGCACCTTCTTCATACTATTAACAAGTACATCTACTAGTCCACCAAATGGAGGATCGGTTACCATGATTACGCCCTTGCCATTGTTGCGATGTAAAAATTCAATGAAAACATTCCTGCTTATTTCACCATCAAAGAAATGATTATTGAACATATTGTATCTGCAATATTTATCAGGTGGGTAGAACTGTACCTGTAAAAAAAAGATAGGCCTACATTTATAATTGGTTTTAATTAATAAACTTATTTCAAGTAATTCAATATCAAATCAGTCAATGAAAATTGTAAGTTAGATTTCTACATATGAATATGTTAACACAAATGTAACATTTTGTTCAAGAGTCTCATTAAGGGCTGTCTAAAATCATTCTTATTTGACAATCTAAAATTTTCCTCCGCTCTTCAATTTTATTTTTAATTTCCTTTATTTGTATGGACATTTCCATAAAGTCACTATCAACAATCATTGACACAGCAATAGGGTGTAGCACTAGCAATTCCAGGTTTTAGAGTTGTTTCTTTTTGTTTTTTTTTCAAAATTCAAAATAACTTTATTGCAAATTTAAGGAAAATTTGAAATGTAGAGAATAATTTAAAGTAAAATTAAAAAACATTAAAGAGGGAAAAAAACAATAACAATAATAATAACACTATAAAAAGGGAGTACATAAATAAGGGAGGCATAATATTAAACAAAATACTGAGCACTGAATTAAAGCCTACAGTAATTTTGGGGGAGAGGGAGCTTCAATTCAAGATGGGCTTCTTCTCGAGATTAAGCCCAATGGGCTTCTATTCAAGGTTTTATGGTAGTGGAATATCAGTACTCTTTGACATTTTACTATATATTATATTTGATTATTATAATTTTTATTTAATATTTACCAATGAATTTAGGAACTGTTAGGCATAAAGGGCTAAAAATACATGCAGAAAAGAGTATTAATGGGATTTAGTTGATTATAAGAAAATGAGATTGAAAAGTTTTAGGCAGTTTTTATCATCAGGTCATGGCAGTGGCTTATCTGGGAGTCTTGAAATGGAGGGGAGGGAGGTCTGATGGGGAGCTGATGTTGGGTTGAGAGCTGATGGTGGGTTGAGAGCTGATGGTGGGTGGGGAACTGATGGTGGGTGGGAAGCTGAATGGTGGGTGGTGAACTAAATGGTGAGGTGGGAGCTGAATGGTGGGTGGGAAGCTGATGGTGGAGGGCTCAATGATTAAGTTAAAGGGAGCTACAGTAGGTCACAAAATAAGGTAATACTTTTACTGTTGTAGCAGCCGTCTTCTTCGGAAGACATATAGCCATCATTGACATGATCCATTAACAAAATCACTGCTAGTGATATAAGGTGATTTTTAACTACTTCAGCATTTTTTACTTCATACATTTTTAATGGGGAAGAGAATGGGGTGGGGTTCCAGGTATATTGGG